TCCCCCTGGCCCCGGCTCGCCTAGCCATCTCGCGCGGACCGTGACTTCATGATTATCGAAGCAGCGATTTCGCGACGCCCTTGACAGGGCTAGGAGGGGACCCCCGACTGATCCAAGTCCCGAGACCCCGAGGCTCGCTCGCCCACCACCCACCCAACCCAACCAGAAACGACCCGATCCGATCCCCGGCTTTGCGTGCAGCGCGACGCGCATCGACGTCGGGCGATGTTGGCGTTAGGGGGCGGGGGAGGGAGATGGGAGGGCCGGGGAAGTCAATGGTAGGGGCAACGGCACTGCCTGCTCCGTGGGTCGATCGAAAGCGCAGGGGCGCTGCATCGTCCTCAGCGGAGTGCGCGCGCGCGCGCGCGCGCTACGCCTCCAACGCCTCGCGGCTATCTCGAGCGGGCCCGCGGTATTGCCTCAGGTCAGGTACGACCGAGACGCCGAGACGGCGGATGGAGCCAGCGCGTCCGCCCGTCCGGAGCCTCGCCTATTCCACTACCGGGGCCACGGCCCGCGATGCAGCCGGAGCCGTTCTCTCCCCCGCGTATCCCCAAGTATTACGTAACTCCGGCCGCCCCCGGTGCAGGCGCTCCCGAACGCGCGGCGGCGGCGGCGGTGGAGGTTACGGCGGAGGGAGCCCGCGCGGAAGGAGGTAGTGGTGGCGCTGGTAGGTGGGTTGAACTGACGGAGGTGGCCGAGGTGGCGGAGGAGGTGGCGGAGACGAAGCGTGGAAAGTGAAACGCTCATACGGGGCACACGTAAACAAAGTATCGAGCAGCGGAGAGCAGCACCGGGCGACTCCCTTCCAAGCCGATGCACCAGCGCCGATGCCAGCAGCCGTGAGTCTTGCGACGTCACCCGAGGGCGCATCATCGCCGCTCGCCGAAGGAACAGGAGACGTACGTGCGCGGCCGAGTATCGACGACGTCACCGCGCGAGGATCCCGAGCAGCTCGTCACGTCCGCAGCAGGCCCCGTCACCGAGCGCGTCTGCAACGCGGCCACGGGGTCCGACCGTTCTTATCGCTGGCTCGTTGTTACAGGGATAGCCGCGCGATCTCCTAAGCCCGGGTGGGTAGGTGTTGGGGGGATTTGGGGAGTCGTGGTGAGAGTGGAGCATGCTGCGAAGGGGGCTGCCGAGGTGGATAAAGGGTAAGCGCATCGTCGGAGGACGCGAGCGAGTGCGAGCCGGGTTGAGTGAGCCGAGGAGCGGGGAGGGGAATGGACCGCACGAGAGTTGATACCCCCTTTCGACCTCACTCGACCCCCCTGCAGTCGATCAATGCACGGGCCGGATTTCACTTTCGCAGTGCCGAAGAAGCGTGTGCACCGCCGCCGTTGCACTCGCTCCCACCCCTCGCGTTAACTCTCGCCCTCTTGGGCGCCTCCCCGCCGCTCGCACTCCCGTTCCCGCGGAGTTGCCGTTCGCGCGCAAGCTCGGCCTCCCCGCAAGCTCGGGCGATTGGCCCGCTGTCGGCGGCGGCCCCGACGCCGCTGCACTTTCTTCTTCGCTCGCGTTCGTTCGAGTACGTTGCCCCCGTGGATTTTCGGAAGGCCAGCCCCTCGTCGATGAGGCCTCGCGTGCCTCTACGGCCGTTCCGCCACTTGTCCTAATTGCCGTTCTTCTTCGCTCGTTCGTCAACCCCCGCGGCGACCCCTCGCTAACCGATGATCTTGAAAGTATAAAGAGGCCGCCTCGTAAGGCTGGCCGCACCGATCGGCTCGTAGTGCGCTCACGCGTGCCAACGCTCGCGTCTCGCTCGTCTCTACGAATTCCCACGAATGTGGAGCAAAGCTTCCGTGGGGGGGCGGACATTATGCCTCGCGGGATAATAGAAGATGCAGGACGGCGGGAGCCGACGCTCTGCTCCCATCGAAAGCGAACTCGCCGGAGTTATAACGAGCGCTTGCGACTGGAAGAAGTGCCCTTGAGTGCGCGTTCGTCCCACGGGATGATATATGATGGGTGATGTGAGAGGCACCTGGGCTGCTCGCGATGTTTACGGTAGTTTGGCGATATACGGGGATGCTTGGCTAGTCGATGTCCATGCGGACGGCTGCCTCACTGTATCGCGAGTTTTCTACTGAAAGGAATGAGCGGCGCGGAGTTGGCCTCTTATGAACGATATCGGAGGCAAAATTTCACGCGAAGCTTCTTTCGCTATTGAGGATCGGAGACGCAAGTCCGAGTGTTTCATTCGAAGATCGAAAGCGAGAGAGATAGAGAGTGAGCGAGGGAGTGAGAGGGGTGGAAGGGAAGCGTTGGTGGTGGTGGTGGTGGTGGTGGTGGTAGTGGTAGTGGTGGCGGTGGCGGTGGCGGTGGCGGTGGCGGTGGCGGTGGCGGTAGAGGCGAGAGGGGTTGGGATGAGAGGCAAACTTTTGTATTACGAGGAGGGCGTTTATTTTAAAAGGAAAATCGTGAGATCGTTGGTCTCTTCATGCAGGCGTTCGCTCATCTCTTTTTCCAAGTCAAAATCTTTAATTATGACAGCGGAGCGCTACGCAATTTTCAATATCGTTCGAATAATCGTGCCCGTTTCACCCTTACATACGCACTTTAACTAACATTAAGCATTTTAATCATGACCCTAATAATTTAATCGTAAGTACGATATTATTGTCTAATGCAATCGTATATTAAATAAGAAGGTCATTGTCTCGTTACAGTAGAAAATGAAGACCGGCGACTGGGATTACATGACGCTGCGGGAGGAGGAATTTCAGCAGAAGGTGAATTACATAGCACCGGACACGCCGACCTCCCCGAACGAGCCGAATCGCGCGGAGGCCTCGCTGCCGAGGAATTTGGTCCTCAAGCCCTCCCAGGAATGCAACAACGTAAGCTAAAAATGCGAGAAATAGAGAGAAGGATGTTACGTAGTCGCGTCTTTCGTTACGGTGACTTAATTGAAGTTCAAATGTAGGTCTTCGGCGTTTGGAGTACGGATCGCATTCCGAAGGGAACTCGCTTCGGACCACTGGTCGGGCAGATCTACACGAAGGATTCCGTCCCACCGGATACCGACAGAAAATACTTTTGGCGGGTAAGCAACTCATCTTTTATATGTAGACTTCGTCTATTGGATCGCATAAACGAGAGGTAAAAACAGAGGGGGGGGGGGGGGGGGGGG